GTCTTGTTCTTATGTCGATCGTCTTTGTCATGTTGAATTGATAATGTTAATTATATTTATGAATATGTCCTGAAGATGGTTTATTAGACCGAAACGTCCGACGTTGACATTATATTAACATTAAAACAGCATCATTGCATATAAGGATTTTTGTTTGTTTTTTCCGTATATTTTTCTTCATATAAATATATATATATATAAATGGCTATATGTGCATATTTCCAGGTGTGTATGTATATATGAATATATTTGTATTTGTATTTATATGTTTCTGTATATATACATGTGTTGTGTATATATATGTCTGTTGTGTATACATCTATATGTTTGTATTTATGAATGTTAGGGATTTCGCCATTTTATAACATTAACTTTACTAATCTACTTTTTGTATGAATGATTCAATGTAATATCTATCTATCTATCTATCTATCTATCTATCTATCTATCTATCTATCTATATATATATATATATATATATATATATATATGTATGTGTATTTGCAGGTATGTATGCATATATGAATATATTTGTACTTGTATTTATGTTTGTGTATATATGTATGTATTTATGAATGATATATATGTGCTTGTTTATATATTTATATACATATATATGGGTGTGTATGTGTATGTATGTGTCTATATACATGTATATATATATATATGTGTGTGTGTGTATATATCTATATATGTGTGTATATTTGTATATTGTAATGATTTTAAATGCATTATATATAACTATAATCTACTTCTTAATAGTGAATTTACAATAATAAAGAGTTGTGTTTTGTTACACTTTAATCTTGAATAGGTTCTGCTGAATCATTTATAGTCAGTTTGATAATATTGTTAGTATTTTTTTTAGTTATTTTGCATTTTTCTACTTATTTTTATATGGGTGTCTATAATTAGATATTTGTATTTGCAAATATATGTCGGTGTGTTAGTTTATTTATGTATGTTTTTTTTATATGTGACTGTGTAGATAAATATGTTTGTATTTATTTCTATGTTTTTCTTTATATATGTGTATGTATATGTATGTGTATGTATGTGTGTATATATATGTGTATGTAGAAATTTTGAAAAACAAACAAAAATCCATAAATGTAGTTAAAATGAAAGAAATGGATTTTTGTTTGTTTTTCAAAATTTCTACATTCTGTCGGATTTTATCCATTTACACTTGCTTATATATATGTGTATATATGTATGTATGTGAGTGTATAAATATATATATATATATATATATATGTATATGTGTATTTATGTATGTATGTATCTGTATGGGTGCATGTGTATACACATATTTGTGTATTTATTTATATATATTTTTATATGTTTGTACCAGTGTATGTTTTCTTGTGTACTTATGCGTATATGAGTATATATGAGGTATTTGCATATATTTGTCTGTTAATGTGTTTTCTTTTCTATACATAAACTGGTTTTATTTTCCATGTTGCATTTTGAATGAACATTTGAATTTGGCGGTTGTATTTTTTTTGTTGTTTTTTGTTTTGTTTTTTGCATGCGTATATATTTTGTCTGTCCATTCGTATATGTTTGTCTTTTTTCTTTGCTTTGTTCACTGCCGAATATTCGGTTTCCTATTCTACCACTTTTAACTTTTATCTATTAAACCGTCTTTTTATCTTTATATCTGTGTTCATATACGAAATATTTTAATAGTTAGTGTGCATTCGCTTATTAAAACTTTCAGACTGAAATCTTTGTGTCTTTGTCTGTGTATGTCTATGCTTTTATTAATGTATCTGTGTATGATTGCTTATATATACCTTTCATTGTATGTATATGTGTCTGATATTATATTTCTTTTTTTTTTTTTTTGGTCGTGGACATCTATTTCCTGTTTCGTCTGTGTTTTTAAATGTTTTTATATCTAAATATGTCTATATTATAATATGACTGTGTATGCATTTTAATTTACAAAATTTCATCACCTGCTCATAAAATTACTTCAAATGTAGTTATAAAAGTTGTTACAATATTTGTATCTCCTTAGATTAGCGTTTACTATAACTGAGATTTTGGATTTTTGATTAAAACTAAATAAATAATAAAATATATATGTATTTTTCATCGGTTCCTTCTTTAAATAATTTTATATTTTAAATTTAATACAGGTTAAATTTAAAATTGGTAATTTTTACATTCAATTTTATAGCAAAATTTAAAATTAATCAGTTAAAATGGTTTATATTTTAGTCTAACACTAACATTAAGACATTAATAATTATAGTCAAGGTTCTTTCTCAAGTTTTTTGAATTCTCATATACTTGTATTTTGATTGGTCATTGTAGCTCATGTAACAGCGTTTCCCCTATCGAAGGGTTCTTGGTTGATTTGAACTTTTTAAAATTCTTTATTCTACATTCAACACCATATAATAAGACACCAGAAGTGTTGAAAAAAAATGGCTATTTTTGTAGTGATGTTATAACATGTTTATGCTATAATTTTTGAATAAATAATATTTGCTCTACTCTGTATTGAGCACTCTTTTACGAATAGTACTTTTGGTTATTTGAATTTATTCCGTCTACACCAATCAAATACTAATATATATATATATATATATATATATATCGAGTAAATTCGTAATGCGGTTCTACGAAAATGTAACAAATATAGCAACATATGTCATTTGCTCGATAACGATTTTCATTCATTCATCTTTTCGAGACTAAAACATTTTTAGTAACGCTAGAAGAGAATAGAAGGTTTTATTTTCTGACGCCATATTTATTAATGTAACCCATTACCAGGTTTACATTTTTTTCTGTTTCCGCAATGTCTACTTTTCACTGATGTCGACAATTCAACATTAGTCGGGTATATTGAAATTGATCATATATATATATGACCATATTCTATGACCATAATGGCAATATTTATACCCAAACTAATGGTGTTAGTATGGGAAATCCACTCGGTCCATGCTTTTCCAACTATTATATGCCCTACGTAGAAAATACAATATTTACACAGGTCCAAACCGAAAATCTATGTTCGCTACGTAGACGATATCTTTATTTTAGCTGATAACATTAAAGAAATAGAGACACTTAAAAACACATTCGAGAAAAACTCCGTCCTTAACTTTACATATGAACTTAGCCAAAAAAAACAAACTTCCATTCTTAGATGTCCTCGTTGAACACAACAATAACACTTTCATTACATCATTATACAAAAAACCCACCAGCAAAAACTCGCGCCACCTTAATTTCAAAACGAATGTCCACTTAGGTACAAAGTAGCAGTAATAAAAATCTTTCTAAAAAGAGCACACCAGAACTTATCCTCTCGACTACTCTTTCACAAAGAACGTAACAACGTTAAACAAACACTAATCAACAACGGTTTCCCTAACTACCTTATAGACCAAAAAATTAGACTATTCCTTCCCAAAGCAAGTAATAACGATAGCCAACACATAGCCAAAAAGCACATACACATTTATTACAAAACCCAAATGCATATTAATTACAAACAAGACGAATCTTCTCTAAGGCATATTATAAAGAAATATTCTACTCCTATTGATCCGAATGAAAAAAAGAACAAACATTATCTATGAGTTCAAATGCCCTTTAAGGAACTGCGTTCCTCACCAAACCGGACTCATAAATAATTACATCGGCTACACAACCACATGTTTATCCAGACGTCTTACGTTACACCTATCTGATCACAGCTCCAGCAGAACACATTTAAACACACACCCAGATTTACCCGACACCATTAGGAACATACTAGTAGAAAACACAAATATATTAACTGCATCCACTTGCAAAAAAAGACTAAAAATAATGGAAGCTCTAATAATAAAAAAGAAAAAGCCAACTCTTAACAATATTAACTATGAACAAAGCCGCAATGTGCTGATCGTATTCAGAAATTAAAAACATCCCTACTACTCACTGATACATACATAGAACGCACAAACTCAACTAAGCTGAAAATCGAATCATCCTTGATAATGGCTAAAGTTATAGCCGAAAGCGCTCGGAAATATAAAACATTCGGACAGTTCTTGTCCAGAAAAAAAGCTCTTGTCAGAACACAAGAAAAATTAAATAAAAAGATCAACCGTAGTACCTTATCTGTCATTTTTAAATGAAACATATATATATATATATATATATATATATATATATATATATATATATATATATATATATATATATATATATATATATATATTACTATGGGTGTCGGTTTGTTGCTCTGCCTCAGGGTATGTTGGTCGCAAATTTTTAAATAAGTCTGTGAAAAGATAATGGCTTGCGGAAGTTGCAAGCCATATATCAGTGTGATATAAGATAGGATGTTCAATATGAGCTTGTAAGATTCGTCATCGCAAACAGTACCCGATAAGACGTTCTCATAATACCGAGTTGCTTATTAAATTCAGAGATAAACGTCAATGGTGATAAATCCGGCTATTCAAACGTACAGGTATGTGCCTGTAGGCGTCAATAAACAAGGCTCAAACTAAGGTGAGATCAGTAAAAAAAAGTTTCGTTTAAGTAACGTACAAGCGTGATAAAAAAGCCATTCGATTGTTAGAAATAGATTATTGCTACCAACTAAGACGAAGAGCTAACGGCAGATAAATATACTAAATTATTACTTTACTAGATTCATCGAGCGAGCATGCGCGTACATGCGCGCGCAGACGCACAAACACACATACAGATATTGAGTGATTAATTCGTGTTTACGGCTTATCAATCACTTGCAGGGTAATCAAAGCCAGAATTTATTTTTTTTCAGGAGTGATAATTATGATTTAGTGATACAAGTATTACTAATTAATCCAAATTTGATAGGGTGAAGAAATTGATTCATAGCATTCGCAAGAGAATTTGCACGTGAGTGAATTTAACGGATCCAAATGGAATTGCAATACGGTTCTCCGATTAACAATTCCGAGTCATTATCCATTCTACCACTCGCATATTCACACTTACAGCGCCTGATATTCCCAAGGGGTCACCCATCTAGGTACTGACAAGTCTTGACGTTGCTTAACTTCGATGATCGTACAAGAGCTGGTGTTTCAACATGACGTGGCCGTAACCTATACACACACACACACACATACGCACACGGTCACTCATCTAGGCTTGACGTTGCTTAACTTCGGTGATCGTACGAGAGCCGGTGATTCAACGTGATATGGCGGAAAAGCACACCCACCCAACTCACACGCATACACGCACACACACATGGTCACCCATCTCGGTACTGACGAGGCTCGACGTTGCTTAACTTCGGTTATCGTACGTGATGTGGCCGTAAGCAACACCCATCTTTACACGCTCTCAGATGTAGCACAAGGCTAAATTTAATGTCTGGTATCCGAGCCCCTAGGCTCAGCCAAAATTCCCCGTAGATCCCATATAAAACGGGATCGGGTAGCTGTTTCCCGAGAGGAGACTCTGACCTTTGACTTAGCCTCGTTTGTGGATCCTATCGACTCAGAGGCAGGGAGTTTGACCAGCGCGCGCGAGCGTGTGTGTTGTATATATATATATATATATATATATATGTGTGTGTGTGTGTGTGTGTGTGTGTGTGTATAATTCGTCTCGTCCAAATCCATTTTGCTGCCATATTTGATCTGGTCCTCCTACTATGTACCTCGAAATTCTTGACAAAATTCAAACAAGGGTCTGTGATATAATCGATCCTGACCTGGCATATCGACTTCAGTCCCTATCTCACACGGACGTGACGTGGATTTCCCTTGTCTTTTCTACAAATATTTTCATGCCGATTGTTCTGATGAGATTTCCTCCGAGCTATCACGATTGCAAATGACGTCACACATTATGAAATGGACAAAGTCCGACAATTATTTTAAGACAGTTTTATGTTTATTCATTCATTAAATTAAATACATTCTTTAAATGACATATGGATATTAAATATTAAAATCAATAGAGTTTATATATTGAAACAAAACAAGTTCAGTTGACCATTGATGACAATTCCAGAACAACGTAACTATAAATATTTTTTTTTCTATCGTCTGCCAGCCGCAATGATGGAGAAAGCATTACCTCGAACCATGGCCAGTGAGACACTCTGCAAGAGCCACTCCGTTTCACGAGGCTCGTCCTTTAATCGAGACGCATTTGCGTCAATCCAAAGGAAGATCATATTTAAATTAAAATAATTGTCGAACTTTGTCCATTTCATAATGTGTGACGTCATTTGTTTATATTTGAATACACTTTGAGCAGATATGAATGTACGTGAGAGATTCATGGAAGATTGAAATTTAAAAACAATAAAATCAACCTTGTTAATTGAACGAGCCTGCGTGGCTCGATAGTTAAAGCACAACAGGCTAAATGCTGGTTCCGTATAGGATACAGTTTCGATTCCTGCCGCAGGTAAATGTCATAATACTGTTTATTATAAAACAGAGCATTTACTTAAATATTTGTATCTATAAAAAGAATGTATAAAAATAATTGTGATAATATACATATTATTCAAAAAGTTTTTATATTCTTTATTTAAACGGCGTTTTACATGTCAAAATTATAACCAGAAAGGTTTTACTGGCACATGATTTATGTACTTTAGTCTTATTTTAAAAACTTTTATGTTTTAATTTTAGAATTTACGATGTGTTTTTTGTTTCATGCGTTTTATGCAGTATATTCTTTGACATCTTAGAATCTTTCACAATATATATCTAAGAAAATTATTTACATTCTGTTTCGTAAGTTCCAAAATAAAATGTTAAATTAGATCCCTGTTTATATTAATTAACTTTCTGAACTGTTTTGATGTGTTTGTGTTATTTTATGCCAAGATTAGGCAATATTTTCTCATATTAATTAGTTATTGATTTTGAATGTAAAATAATCAGAGACGCTTTAGTGTTGTCTTTTATATAGACTTTTAATTTTATGGTTTTCTGTAATTTGTCCAGTTTTCTTTGGATAATATATATGAAATAAATTGAATGACGGAAGATTTTAAAGTCATTTTCAATTTATTTTTTTTTCTTTCTGGTAGATAGACGAGATTGCATTAAATTAAGAACTCGAGTTATGTGCATATAAATGCCTCGTCAGGAGTACACTTTCATGTGGATATGTAATTAAACACTCAGGTATGGTTTGTTTTACGGCATATCAACCTCAATGGGTTATTTAATGCCTACAACATTTTTAGGATAGATTCGTATGAATAGAATATGTATTCTTTGGTTTAGATTGGTTTGGTTTATTGTGTTTTACGGCATATCAACCTCAATAGGTTATTTAATGCGGACAACATTTTTAGGATAGATTCGTATGACTAGAATATGTTTTCTTTGGTTTAGATTAGTTTGTTTTATTTTGTTTTACGGTACATAAACCTCAATGGGTTATTCAATGCCGACCACATTTTTAGGATTGATTCGTATGAATAGAATATGTATTCGTTGGTTTAGATTGATCTGATTCATTTTGTTTTATGGCATATCAACCTCAATGGGTTTTTTAATGCCGACAACATTTTTAGGATAGATTCGTATGAATAGAATGTGTATTCTTTGGTTTACATTGGATTAATTTGTTTTACAGCATATCAACCTCAATGGGTTATTTAATGCCGAAATTTTTTTTTATTGCTGGTAATATTCTGTTTCTCGTAATATTTTTTCTTCAAAAGTGTATTGCTGTTAATAATTTTTTCAAAAACATATTGCTGGTAATAGTTAACTATTTGCCCATAGCTGGTACCCTAACAGGTGCTACCACCACGGGTCAGAGTGGACCTGGGAACACCATCAATTTAGAGGTGGTTCCACGCTCCTCAAAACCTTCTGATCAGAGGCCTTGCTGCTGGGCGTAGTTTATCGTCTTACCCAGGACGCGGATGTAGTTTAACGTCTTACCCATGACGGTAAACACTCAGGGATGTGCAACTTATTTCGAAATGTCTGAAGTATCAAAAGCTTTTTTCTGATCATTGAATAAGAAGTGCCGTCAGTCGCTGGAACCCTGCATGTTGAAAGAAGATCATATAGACTGGCGCTACATAATCACAAAGAAACGAACATGACCGATTAACAAAAACATCATTTCAAGACTTATACGTTATTATAAGATTAAATAATAACATAATCAAGATGTTGATTTTCCACAGTACATTAAACATAAGATTAAGAATGGACCCCCATCAACAGTGGAGAAATGACGACGGTTTCATATAAGAAAACGCGGGGCTATTAGATAATAATAATAATAATAATAATAAAAAGTATTATATATTTATCTTTTTCCTGTGATGTTAGTTAAATGTACAGGGTGCCGATAAAGTTCATGTGCACTTTAAAAAAATTTATAACTTTATTTGTATTTACGATAGAAATACTTTGTAAAAAGGATTAGAAAGGATTAATGCTCTATTTCTTAAGGTTTTATTGAAATTTCATTTAAGTTTCCACATGTCCTCCATCATTTGCAATACAAAGGGTAATACGATTTTGCAGTTCACGGAAAACATTTGCCAACTGATTTACAGTAATGCCTGAAATCACATTAGTTATTTTAACATTACTTAAAACTAGGTACATTAGACTTTATAACATTTTTTACAGATTATTTCCATCGCAAATACAAATAAAGTTATAAAGTTTTTAAAGTGCAGACGAACTTTATGGACACCCTGTATAATATATGTTTTATCGGTCGAATTAAAAACTTATCAGTGTCAGTGAAAAGAATAGCAAGAAATATATGGTGCAATGTATAAATTGTCGTCTAAATTAAGCAAAAATTAACATCTTGTTTTAACAAATATATTTACCAAAATTACACAAAAATATCTTGGAATACTGAAGGGTAAATTTATTTAAATTAAAATGCCATTAGTTTCAACCATGGTCTCCAGACGACTTCGGGGTCCTCTGCATCTCATCTGGACGTTCTCCTTGTTCAAGTTGGTGAATGTTGCCATAATCCTTGCCTTCAGGTGATCATTGGTGTTACAAGGAGTTTTGTTTGCTCAACGGCGCCTGACACATAATAATCAATGCGATTGCAGTTAGGTGTAGTTCAGTGGCCAGATGTTAGATGACCAAAGGTTGATGTGGTAGCAGAAATTGTCTGATAGCTATGACTGGGTTCAGCTACTTGTGTGGCATGGTACAGAGTCCATTTGCCAGATATAGGGTTTTCCATCAGCCGCTCTCTTAAACCAGGGCAGCATTACCTCCTCAAGGCACGATGTAAACCTCCATGTTGAATCTGAGGCCATCACTACTGATCACTCCAAACACCATGATGTCGGCTGGATATTTGGTTTTCGTCACTCTTGGTACATCTTTTGAGGACTTAGGATTCTCTGGACTGTCCACATGTTCACGCCAAATCACTCTGAAATATTATCATTGCAGCTTCCGGCGCGAATGCCAAGCAATACAGCATGCTATTTCCAGATTTCTGGCAGAGTGATTTATGTCATGGTGCTCTTTTTATCACAGACGATACCTTACTATACTGTGCAGTCGACAAACTCAAAAACAAACAACGCGCATGCGAGACATTAAAAATATATAATTGCGACGATTTACCCATCGCATCCTGTAGTGAGGTAGTATTTATGTTATGTTTCTTACAAGAGATTCTCTATTAATCTGATCTATTTAATTTTGTGCGGACATATTAGAAAAGCAGCAGGACACTTCTATGTGGTTATCGAGACTGTTTCGCTAAAGCAATTACAACTGAGTAGTGAGTTCGATCCTCATGCGTTCCCCATACATTCGGCCTTGTGCCACATGTAAGCTACGCTTAGAAAATCATTGGAGCTAATCGGCGTGGTGTAATGGTTCGCAATCTTGATTAATTACGACTGAGTAGTGAGTTCAGTCCTCACTGAGTGCCCCATATATGTCTTGGTGCCAGATCTAAACCAGGACGTAACAATAAAAGTTTTGACTATGATATTAATAAACACGCTGTTCTTGATAATGACCGAGACAGCCGAAAATATGCGCGCAAAAACGCACAGAAGGCAGGGAATTTTGCATAGTTTATTCACAACTTTAATCCATATTTTAATTTTA